ATGTCTAATCATGATCAGCACCAACGACACTCCTATCAAGTATGCTGTGAAGCTCCACTTCACCTCTTCTAACAATGAGGTAGAATATGAAGTGCTCTTATCTGGCCTAAGGTTTGAGATCAAAATGAAAGCCCAACACCTCATCAATTATAGTGATTCTTAGCTAATAGTTAACCAAGTGAAGGGTGAGTTTGAAGCAAAAAAAGCCAAAACGGTGGAGTACTTGGCTATGGTGCGAGCCTTACTTACTAAGTTCCACCACTTCCAGATATATCGCATTTTGAGCCTTACTTACTGGCCACACTCGTTTCATCCTCGAAAGCCCCATCAGGCCTAGCATTCATCGGTCACCAGTTCGAACCAAGCAAACTAGACGTGGAAGCCACAATGTCAACTGTGCATCTGCTGAGTCAAACTAGATGACCTTGATAAGGTCATACCTCTAGGAGGGTGTATTTTCAGATGACCCATAGAGGCCAAGAAAATCAGGATGAGAGCCTCCAAATTTATCATCTTATAAGACATCTTGCACAAGAAAGGCTACTCCTTACTACTACTTCAGTGTCTTTCACTAGAAGAAGCTAACTATGCCATACGAGAAATCCATGAAGGGATTTGTGAAAATCACTATGGAGGATGCTCCATCACCCACAAGGTAATCAGGCAAGGTTACTTCTGGCCTAGCATGGTGAGGGACGCCTAGGAGTTCACTAGAAAGTGTGACAAGTGCTAGCACTTTTGCCACTGTGCCCAGACAGCTGCCATAAGAGCTGATAGGCATCACAAGTCTGTGGCCCTTTTTCAAATGGGGCATCGACATCTTGGGCTCCCTACCTCTGAGCAGAGGGCAATGCAAGTTCGTGGTGGTAGCCGTCGACTACTTCACTAATGGGCGGAGGTTGAACCCTTAGCAAAGATAACAGACACGAAGGTAAAAGATTTTATTTGGAAGAACTTGGTTTGTCGCTTCGGGATGACCCACACCATAGTCAGCGACAACGCCAAGCAATTCAACAACAAGCTCTTGAATTTGTTTTGCTCTGACCTCCAGATAAAACAACCTCATTCCAGCCCAGCACACCCATAGGAAAATGGACATGCAGAAGTCATGGTCAGAATAGTATTACGCAACCTAAAGACAAGGTTTAAAAGAGCGAAGGGTCAATGAGTTGATGAACTTCCAAGTGTATTATGGGCCTACCGAACGACACCGAGAACCCTAACTAGAGAAACTCCCTTTTCTCTCGCCTTTGGTGGTATTGTGAGCAGTACCACAGTGTGCTACTTGGGTACTGCTCTCATATGGTGCTTCGGCTTATATGGGGGTGGGGAGATGACTCTTTCCCCGATGTGGGACAGAGGTAAAGGCTACTGTGGGGGTTTGCCCCGCAGGTTAGCCGAAATCCTTTGTGGAGAGCGGGATATCCCGGTAATTGGAGGAAATGCTCTTGGAAGACAGGGGTCCGGTAATGGACCAGGGTCTTCACATCATGCAAGCAGTTTTTCTAAGGGCAGCCCTCTTATGGGTCGCCACAAACTCAGCCTGGAAAGCTCTACCATCAACTTCAAGCTCAGCAATCCTTCCTTGAGCATCAAGAAGCTCCCTTTTCACAGCCTCATGACTATGCTTTAGCTGGCCGTAATAAACAGTTCTTGAAAAAAGACATATAGAGGTAGTTGAAACTTGAAAGAAGGCAAAAGACAAAAGAATGTCAAACGCCTAAGGAAGGACAGAAAAAAGGGAGACAACTAGGCCTGTCAAAATCCAACACGACACGATTAATCGACACGGATTAAACGGGTTTATGTGAGACCTTAACGGGTTCGGGTGATAAACGGGTTGACTCGTTTAACACGTTTAATAAACGGGTCGTATTCGGGTGAGACATGTTAACCAGTTTACCAGTTTAAACAAAATTAATATAATAATAAATTGAGAATTAATTTAAAAAATTTAACCAATTTTTTTTAATGACAACTACACATAAAATATATAAAGTAATTTTCCCCCAACCCTAATCTAATTTCATCTACTCTCAACGGCTGAAGTGTTGTGCCTCTAAGTTCTCCATTCTTTCTCTCTTTCTTTTTCTCTCTCTCTCTCTCTGCAAGCTTTGGTTTTGCTCCTCTCTCCATCTCCGCTGAACCGAACGGTTGAAGCTTGAGTCGCTGACCATAGTAAATCTTTAGACATTTTCAGATCTGTATTTAGTTGATTTTAGATATGTATTTTAGATCTATATTTAGAGCCGAACGGCTAAAGCTTGTCATTTTAGATCTATATGTTGTCATTTGTGGGTTGAGCTATTTAAAGGTTGTCGGGAGGAGGGGGAATGGTGTCGTATTTGTAGAATTCTTGGTTATAAAGTGCCATTTTTTGTGGATTTGTTGATTCCCACATGTCGATTTACTTGGACAGTGGTGTTGGGTGTCTGTGTGTGTTGGTCGTGGATCACTTGTCTGTGTGGTCATGCCTTGATAAGTTTTTTTACTTGAATTCAGCTGGTTGATTAGGATTGAAAACTCAAGACATAATTCTCTGTAAATTACCTCCTTGCTTTATAAATTGTACATATGGAAGGAGTGGATACGAACAAATTTTAACCTTGGGCTATAGCCTGGTTTTCTACCCTGCATGTACCACTTTTGTTTGTTTTGCTTTATTAATTTTCTAGCTTTCTTTATCCTATATAATTAATACACCACATAAAAATTGGGCCTGCATTATGGCAGCTTGAATGCTTGATGAAGAAGACTGATGTATATGGTTTACAAGTATTATTTTTCTCATTATCAGAATTCATGTGATTATTGATTCATTTATGTTTTGTTGTAGATGATTCGGAAGAGGAAATATATGATGATGTTTTCAATCAAAATATGAAGTCTAATAAAGCTATATCCGCTCAATGTTATAATTGTACATCTATCATTGATCATGACTAAAAAGAGGTAATGCCAAATTTTTGTTACTTATTTAGTTATGAGTCTATTTAATTATTAATGTTATATAATATTTTATTTTAATTTGTGTAGGACATGAGAATTTGGTTGTTGAATCTGCTCGTTGTCGTGGAGGTGGAGATATAATCTCTTTCACAGAATTTTGTGAATCATGGAATTTGTCGTTGTTTGGGTTTGTGATTTGTAATATGATGGTTATTTGGTATAATTGTGTTATTTCGGATTGTATTTATGATTTGTAATATGGTTGTTGGTGAAATTTGGCTATTTTGGATTGTAGTTTGCACTTTGTAATATGGTGTGATATTTCTAAATATCACATTTATTTATGTTAGTTTGATAGTTTTATAAAGTTATATAACATTTTTAAATAAATAGATAAATGGGTCAAACAGGTGATTTATAGTGTTAAATGAGTGAAACGAGTGGTAAACAGTTAAATGGATCAAACGAGTGGTTTACCGTGTTAACCCGACCCAATCTAACCCGACTTGTAAAATTATACGTGTTAAATGAGTCATGTTGTGTTACCCATTTATTAAACGGTTCGTATTCGTGTTTCAATTTTTTACCTGTTTATTAAACGTGTTTTGTACGAGTTCACATGATTTTCACCCGTCACCCCGTTTAACCCGACACGTAACCATTTAACCAGACACGTTTGACACCCCTAGAGACAACAGACACTTACCTGATCCAGACCTTCCAGAAAAGTGCTGATGATTCCCTTGGTGCCCAGAGCACTAATCTCATTAACATCAGTCAGGAACACAAACCTCCAAAGTCGATCCCTGATGAGTCGCGCATTACCCAACATGGAGCCAATCTGAGTAGGTGCCCCAGTAGAAGTTCTCACAGGAGGAGTTGATGAATGAGGGGCAGGAGGTGTGATCGACAGGGGAGTCTCTGTAATATCAGTCACATCTAAAGGAGTCGCCAATTGAGGAGGTACCACTGGAGGGGTCACTTGAGGGGAGGTCGCCAAAACATCACTCATCCTCACCACCTTAGGAGGAGGAGGGCTCCTACTAGAATAACATAATTCAACCACCGTTCTATCCACTACATAAGAGATAAAATGTTATTTAAATAAAAACCAAGTAAAGGAAGAAAGTACAAGAGAATAAACGTATCCTTTCTCTTCAAGGAAAAATCGTCAAATCTCGAAGAGGGTGCGCTAGCCTTAGCACCAGCTGCAAGGAAACCGCTGGCTCCACTATCTTTGAGCATGAAAGCCCCAATGTCCTTTTACAAGATGAGCCCTCACAGCCTGCAACTTCCACTCTTGGTTTTTTGGGAGCATAGGAGAATCTACAAAGAGTGCAATGGGTACACACAAAAAAAAGGCGAAGGAGAGAGAGTAAGTGTAGGGCATACCAACTTTCTTAAGAGTATCCCATCCTGTTGGTACCAAAGCCCCAATAGCCTCTGAAGCCCACTTTCCGCTGACGAACATTAAGCGAGACTTCCAACTATGACATTTGGAGCGTAATCTGGTAATCAACTTACCTCCTCTCGTAGTAAAATAGTACCAGCCTCGATTAGGAGCAGGAGTCTCACTCAAAGTATAAGCGGCATAAAACTCATCAAGAGAGGCATCCTCATGATGCACCTTCCTCCACAATGCCAGAAAATCAAGCAAAACTCTCAAACCATTGGGTGTCAACCGTTCTGGTGTTAGTGAAAAGTAATGCATAATACGACAAATGAAATAGGGCAGTGGAAACCTAAGCCCAGCCTTAAGCATTTCCTCATAGATAGCAATGTCTCCAAAAGGAGTCATCACAAGGAGACTCACCCATCTCAGCTCGACGGCACAGTATCGTTGGAGGAATGTAGTAAGTGGAGACAATCTGCAAAATATCGGCATCCGTATTGAGAGTACTAGAAATGGTATTTACTTTGGATCCATCGTTGTCAAGAGCTGCCTTCTCTCGGTGCTTTCTATTGGGAGTGCATGAAGAGTTGCCCGATCCACTACCAAGGAGGCCTTAGGGAATCTGATTTTGAGAAGTTTCTTAAAGGAGCCAGATCATCTACCACGTTACTAGAATTGTTGGCGCCATCAGCTCCTCGCGAGCACCTGGGTTACCCCAACCACAATGCCGAGGGCCTGGGCCGTTTGCCTGGGACGCCTGGCCAGAGGCGTCTAGCGCACCAGCCTCCTCCCTCGCCTCGTCAACACTAGTGCCCAGTCCTTTGGTGCGAACAACTGGCTCGCCCAACAGTTGGTCCTCCTCCCTCGCAAAGCCCCACGCGCAAATAGCCCTAGCGTGCGAACAACAGCCTGATCTGGAGCGAAGCCCTTTGCGTGAGCAGCCTGCTCGCCCAAATCGGAGCCCGCTTGCTTGCCCAGACCGGTGCCCAACACTACTGTCTCCCCTGCACGCACGACCTACTCCTACTTGCCCAAATCAGAGCCCGCCTGCTATCCTAGTGCGCCCAAGCCGCCGCTTCCCCTGTGCGTGTAGCTGACTCACGCAGCACCTCCATCGCCATGGAAATCGGTGAACCTTCGTATCTCCTCTCCTTTGCTCGACATTAATTTCTGAGAACTCATCTGAGGAACAAAATCTCTAACATTGGGTCTTCAAATATTTCTAGAAGAAACTCTATCCCAAAAATGGGTGGAATGGGGAAGAAACTCCTTATTTGTAGCCTAAGGTTTTTTAAAAATCCTATTAAGGAATGGAAAAAGGGGGAAGTCTCTATTTGAAACCAAGGGTTCTCCTAGAATTCGAATATAAAATGGGGAAGGACTTGAGAAGTCCTACAAAGGTGGAATATATCAGGAATGAAAGGAGTGTCTAAGGAATCCAAGTTCAAAAAAGGTTGATCGCTATTTTGACCATAACTTTTGATCTATTTTTTCAAACGGGGCCCATAATATATCAAATTGAAGCTCTCGGCAAGCCTTACAAGACTTATTGCCTTTGGCCATGATAGCGCTGTTAAAAGCCCAAATAATGCATAAAAACATATGTTTTGGCCTCCCAAAGTTTTTTCAGTTGTGCGCTCAGCCGAAATTCAAACTTAATCAAATGCTCTCTGACTTGATCCGAAATGTGTATAGCCAAGTGCAAGTGGTCAAGCTGTAGTAACAATCTGATTAAGTTCAGAGTCGAATCCACAGGGAACTATGATTAGTGTTTTGAAGTAGCAGTGATAGAGACCAAGTAACTGAAAACCTTGAGAGTTTGAAGTTATGAGATTTTCTGAATAGAATATAAGATTCTTTCCAAGAGTTTTCTAGATAAAATATAAGATAAATTCAAATGTGAAACAGTCACCCTTTAGCTCGAGGATCAGAACATGTAAGTAATCATCCAGTTTATTATACTTGTGTTTTATAACTCAATTAACTCTCATGTTAACAACAAGTTAATCGGAAGATAAAGATGGACTGTGGGAATTAAGCATATGATTCCGATGCCTTTCTAGAAGTTTACAAGAATTATCTGTGCCAAGACTCAACCCGTCTAAAAATAAGCAAGTGTTTCTACAAGGCATCCAACCATGACATTAATGTTTCATTCTTTAGATAAAACACAATAATGATGAAGATTGAAATATTGTCATGAAGATCTAGTCGGGGTACTTGCCTTGAACCAACAAGTCTTTCTATGCAAGAGTCATCTGTGACATAGAAAGATCTCACGGTTATACAAAGTACCTTAGCTTTGCTAGATATATTCAATCATTCAATGAGCAAGTGCAATATAAAGCATTAAAGTATAAAAGAAATGCACAAATATAACTTCCGGATAATTTATACATATTCATCACCTCTCACTAAAGAGTGAATGAGGAACTACTCACTCTTATGACTTTGGTAAAGCTAGAAAAGTGAGTGATATACATCACTCCAAGTAGATGAGTTACAATGTGAAAACACAATAAACAAAGAGCCGATCTTCAACGAAGAATGAGTGAATCACGTCCCACCCTTCACAGCTTTGGTAAAGCTCTAGAAAAGTAGAAGAGTTTCACTCCTCTAGAAAAGAAGGAAGCTCAAGCAATGGAAGTGAAAGACATGAACAATAGAAGTAGAAGAAAGCTAGTTACATTTGGAGGGTGGCTTCCTCAACCATGAAATGGAGGGTTGCTTCCTCAAGCAACATATGAACTAACTCCCTTGATACAAGCAAATATAACATACATCTAACTACATGAGTGAGAGTCCAAGCCTCCATCAGCTCTTAACTAATTCTTGGTGTAGTCTAAGCCTTACAAACCAAGTTCTAGCCTTTTGTAAGAACTATCCTCCCTTCAAAGGCTCTCCCAAGGGGAGTATTTATAGGCAAGGAGGAAAAAGGTGGGGGGGGGGGAGAGACAAGAGAGTGTGAAGGAATAGTGTATGCCGCCCAAGCCCAAGTGAAGAGCCAACTACTTTGCAGCCTGCCTCTGAAGAACGTTCGAATGTGAGTTGATGTTCGAACATTGTCTCTGTTTTTCCTTTATGTGCGTTCAAACGTTGTATGACGTTCGAACGTATCTTCTATCTTTGCTTTATGGGTGTTCGAACGCCAGATGGGGTCTGACCTTCTCACTCAAGTGGCTTGTGGTCTTCTGTGAAAACCTATTTCCACACTCCATGCTCATCTTGGCGCTTTGCACTCATCATTCTGGTCTTCAATAATTCAAGTGGATGTTCGAACGTGAGTTGGCGTTCGAACATGGTACTCAAGTACCCAAGAGTCTTCCTTCTTGGTTACAACACGCCATGTCTTCAACAGTCTAGTTTTCAATCACTCCAGTGGACGTTCAAACGTGAGTTGGCGTTCGAACGTCCTTGGCTTGGTCCAAGCTTTTTCAATTTTTCTCTAGAATATGCTGGTGTTGCATGAAAGTTTGATACTCATTGCCTTTAGTCCCTTGTGCAATTTATGGTCTGAAATGTCATCATTTAAACTCCATCAAAGTATAATTAGTCTTAAAATAGCATAGTAATATGCTAATTTTAACTACTAATCACCCTCCTCTCCAAGTTCCATTGGACACAAGACATTGAGGGGCAAATGATGGGTCGAGCCCAAGGGGCTAACCCACTTTGTAAGCCCAAAAATTCGACTTAAGAGAGATCTAGTAAGTCTAGCCTAAAGTGGTCCACGCCTGGTCAAGTTCATTAGGGTTCGAGGCGCTACATCAGCGAGCATGCAGGGTCATCCAAGAGTCTCATCGACACCACCTTGGAAAGAGTCAACCCCACGTCATCTTTTGACGAAATCTTATGGGAAGTGTCGTAACTGCCTCATCCGTTGAGAAGAAAGTGCCAGCTCCACAAGATTAGCCACTTAGTTACTAATAAGTTGCCTCAATCTGTTAGGAGGCGACTATAAATTATAAGCCCCGCAAACACTTGGGGGCATCACTTAAGTGAGTACATCCTCTACTCTCCCCTGTCTTAGCTTGTATCTCCTTGCTCTCACTATACACCTTGAAGTAATAAAACACCAGGCGACCCTAGCCGGTCATAATGGACGTAGGTCACATTGACTGAACCACTATAAATCCTTGTGTTCTTTTCTCTTTCTCTACTTTATTACTGTATTTATTATTGATCACTTGACAGATGGTGTGCAAAACCAATTTGTACATCATCAGCATCAACTTTTTTGGTGGAATTTATTTATCCAATATTTATGGAAAATATGATATGCATTTGAATTATAATTTTTACATTCTATTTGAGTTATGTAGCATTTTTGTAATAAAAAAGTATCACGTTTGTTATGTCCTTATCGACCCAGTTGTAGTATTTGAAATTAATACCAGCTTGGTTATAACATTTGAAATTAATATCGACTTGGATGCTATAGTGTAAATAAACTCATGTAGGATGCATTATTCAATACCATCCAAGAGATGGTATTAAAATGAGGTAGAAAACTAATACATGATACTTAGATGGGTAGGGCTATTCTCACCCTAAAATTTCCATCCCCACCCCATTTACTATTCCCAACCCATTTTTATATTCATTCTAATGATTAATAAACCCTAAATCTACAATCACCACCGACGCCATCTAACCCAACCCCCAAATCTCCATCACCCCACATACAACATCGTCACCACCTAGTTGCCGATAACGTGACACTAAAGTAAATTTTGGATGATGTTGATTATCAAATGACGAAAACTCTAAGCAAAATATTTAGAGTTTTATATTGTGATCATATGATAAAAAACAAAGGCAATTGAGGTTGCAAAGGAGCTGTTGAAGATTATGATTGATTCATCAACTTGTTTGGTTCAATTAATACTAACTTATTATCGCATTTTTCATCTGTTGGTTTAGACAATTGTGATTCTAAATTGTCTTACTAATACTTAGGATATAATGTAAGGTTAGGGTTTCTAATGGTGAGTGGGATGCGGTTAGAAAACAGATTTTTAACCATATATGTCAGGATGAACAAAAAAAAAAAAAAATTTAAAGTGGGTTGCAAGTAGAAATGGGGTGGGAATAACCCCAACCTACTTAGAATAATAATTTACCGTATTGGCCTTTTTAATGCCTAATGTTCAACATCAAGACAATGATATTAAAGTTAATTGATATAAAATAAAATACTTAATTTTATTGTAGGAACCACAAAACAATTAAATTACAACATTGATCTTTCAAGTGTCTAATAATTTAAACCAAACAGAAGCTATTTAAATCAATTAGTAAATACAATCATTATTTTTAAGTGAGACCACATGCTTTGCAAAAATGTCAAACCAAATATGGTATAGAATTGAAAAAAACATTAAATTATGTCTTCCACGCCCATGGAATTGAAAAAGTTGAAAATACAACTGTAGTCACATCCGTTCCTTCTCGACTAAACAAACATGCCCGTATAGTAACCACGATCGACTCAAAAGGGCAAGTTATTTAAATGCCTACTTTACTGTGTAAGGAGTTAGATTGGATTTGGCCCAAATTAATATTGAACGAAGGCAGACAAAAAAAAGGGGATAAACTACGGATTAAATGATGTGATATTACAACAATGATAATTAGGGGCGGAGCCACCCATGGGTAGGGTGGGAACATGTCCACCCTTAAAACAATTTTCTTCTTGATATTAGATATATATTTCAATGAGAGCAATACTATTAAGACATAGCTTAAAGGTATAATTTGTAAATTTAATGATTATGACCATTAAATTGTTAGTAGGTCTTAATATTAAATTATCATTGAGTCCTAACACTATCAATCCAATGACAAAAAAACAATCCTGCTATCCCGACGTTAGGCCGAACAAAAGTAAAGAAATCTCCTTCGGGTCATTTCCATATTCTCCGATATTATCAACTTCGACTAGAAGAAGGAGAGTGAGGGTTGTGTAGCCAAAGCGGTACAGTGAATATTTCTAGGCATAATTACAGCTTCGGGTCATCTCGAAGACCCATTACACTGTACCCATTACAGCGTCATCTTGGAGATGATTTTTTATTAGTTTAAGGCATTCCCAGTGCCCATTACACTCTGCATTGGTTATTGTATGCAACCGAACGAACTGTCAATACACTTCAACTGTTTGATTAAATGTTTGTTTGGGT